GAGATATACTGACTCTGTGTGGATTTGTCTCTGTGTCTTCTATTTTATTCCATTGGCCTACAAACCCACACAGATACAGTCAGCTAATCCTGACAAAGGGCCAAAAACATCTATTGGAGAAAAGACAGCCTGGTTAACATATGGTGCTAGGAAAACTGGTTTATCCATCTGTAGAAGGAAGAAACTAGATCCCTCTCACTCTGCACAAAAGTCAAGGCAAAGTGGATCAAAGACCGGGAAATTAGACAAGAAACTTTGGAACTGTGAGAAGAAAATATAGGGGAAACACTCTAGTATAGAAGCACAGACAAGAGCTTTTTCATTAAGAATCCTAAAGCTCAGGAAATAAAAGCAAAATTTAAAAAAAAAAATGAGATGGCATCAAATTAAAAAGCTTCTGCACAGCAAAGGAATAAAAGAGCAGAAAGAGCCTACAGAATAGGAGAGACTATCAGCTACTACTCTTCAGGAGATTAATATCCTGAATATATAAAGAACTCAAAAAACAACCAACAACATAATACAAATAATCAACAAATAAAAGGGCAAAAGAACTAAACAGATACTTCTCAAAAGAAGAAATACAATTGGCCAACAAATATATGAAAAAAAAATGTTAAACATCTCTAGAAATCCAGAAAATGCAAATTAAAACTACATTAAAATTTCATCTCACTCCAGTCCTAATGGAAATTATCAAGAATATAATTAATAATGTGTTGGCAAGAATGTAGGAAAAAAGGTACACTCATACATTGTTGGTGAGATGACAAATTAGTGCAACCTCTCTGGAAAACAGTCTAGAGATTCCTCATAAAAACTAAGAATGAAACCATCATATTATTCAGCTATTTCACTACTTAGTATACATCCAAAAGATTTAAAATCTGTATACTATAGTGACATGGCAATATCAATGTTTATAGCAGCACAATTCACAATAGCCAAGCTACAGAAGCAACCTAGGTACCCTTCAACAGATGAATGGATAAAGAAAATGGGGTACATATACACAATGGAGTATTACTTAGCCAAAAAGAAGAAATTATGGCATTTGATGGCAAATGCATGGAACTTGGAGCTTATTGTGCTAAGTGAAATAAGAAAACACAGAAAGCCAAAGATCAAATATTTTCTTTGATATATGGAAGCTAGTCCAAAATAAGGAGGGCAAAAAATATAGAAAGAGAGAGTGTTGAAGGGAAAAGGGGAGGGGGGTCCATCAAAAAGAAAGGAACACTAGTGGGCTAAATGAAGTGGACTGAGGGGAAGGAAGGGGAGATGGGAAAAGAGAAGAATAGAACTTTTCCTATGTCTATAACCTAACCTTCCTATGTACTTTCACACACACACACACACACACACACACACACACACACACACACACACAAGACACTAACCAAAAAGAAAAAAAGCTAAAAGTAAATTACAGAAAGATCAGCAAAATAGAAGGACGGGAATAGGAAGAGGGAAGAGAGGAAAGAAAGGAAAAACACTGGGGATTGAATCTAAACAAATATCATTATCATCCCATGCTTTTTAATTATGTCAAATGAATTCTATTAGTATGTACAACCAAAAAAGAAGCAATAAAAAGTAAATTTTAAAAGAACTAAACAGACAATTCTCAAAAAAATATATAAATGACCAAGAAATATATGAAAAAAAAATGTTCAACATCTTTACCAATCAAGGAAAGGCAAGTCAAGACTACACTGAGAATTCATCTCACTCCCATTGCAATGGCAGTCATCAAGAATACAGATAATAAATGCTGAAGAAGATACAGGTAGAAAGGAAGATTTTTGCATTATTGGTGGGATGATAAATTAGTACAACCACTATGGAAATTAGTATGGAGTTTCCTCAAAATACCAGGAACAGACCATCTATCCAACTGTCGGTACTTAAAAGAATTAAAGTCAGCTTACTGTAGAGATACATAAAAACTCATAATAATAGCAGCGCAATTCACCATAGCCAAGTTCTGGAATGATCCTAAGTGTCCATCCACAGATGACTATATAAAGAAAACATAGTATATACCGTGGAGTTTTATTCAACCATAAAGAAATTATGAAAGTATGTCATTCATTGGTAAATGGGGAGAATTGGAGAACATCTTGCTAAATGTAATAAGTCAAATTTAGAAAGTACAGAGTTGTGTGTTTTCTCTCTTATGTACAAACTAGAGAGGGGGAAAAGGGAGAAAGAAAAGGTATGGGGTTCTCATAAAAATAGAAGGGAGACCAGTAAAGTAGAGGGCAGGAGGAGAAGAGAAAGAAAAGTAGTGACTAATGACATTGACCAAACTAGGTTTTGTGCAGGTACAAATATGTCACAATAAGTGCCACTATTATGTGTAAATATAATGTACCAATAAAATTTTTTTTCAAAGAATATACTTGTCACAACAATTGTTTGATGACTATCTCCTGATAATTGTCAATAGTACCTTCTCCAGACAGATCCATGCAAAGCACTTACCTGTGTTGACCTCTGTAAAAGGGAAATTTTGTCCAGACTATGACCTCTGTAAATGAAGCTGTGATTTCCTACTGGCTATGGTATGTGGGCACCTGGTTCTTCAGGACAACCATCCACAGAGCATTGTTCACTCCTGAGGCTCAGGGCAGGACCAGGGCTCTACAGACCTTATTGGTTGTAGCACATAGAGAACAGTTCACCTCTCGGGTCCTTCTTTAGTTTAATCTTGGTCTTTCTCTATTGTGATTCTTCCTGGCTCCTGTAACAGAATACTCTGGAATTCCCCATTTGCTCCAAACAGCTTTGCTCTTCAGCATTTCCAACTATAGTCAGGATTCTCTTGATGTACTTCAAAAAAAAAAATTAAATGTCATTGCTGTTCTGGGTTCCATTTATTCTTAAGGGTCTTAGATCTAATAGTCTGCATTTTTCAAGATATGGATTGTTGAGGATCCATAATCACACAACTTGATCCTTTCTAAAACATTAATGTCACACTGAATGTGATAAAAGTCCCAAAGAAACCTGGATAGAATAAATGTTTTTCCTAATAGACTCAGTCTGGAATCCAGGGTTTGATGGCTGAATGAATGCATTTAACACAATCTTCCCACTGACGCTTGACACTTGATATTTTGGATTCAAAGTCACAAAGCAATGACAAACTTAAGTGCATTGTCAGAGAAATATAAGAAGAGTTTCATTGATGGCCTCCACAAGCCTTTGCACTTGATGGAAGGGGGCTGATTTTACAGAAGGATTCAACAATACCCATGCCCCTGGATTATGTAAACTGTCCTCTTTCTCCTGTTTTTTTAAAAATTATCATTATTATTATTCCAGTACTTCTAACGTTTTGCTATCCCAACATGTATTTCTCTTATGATAACAGCATGGGCCCTTTCCCACTCACAGGTCAGCATGATGTCTGGATGAAATGTAATCGACCACTTAGAGCTCGAGGAATGGGAGTATGACCAAACAGAATGTTCCATCCTGTGACCAAGTGCTGGCTTCAGAGATGAGCATGTGCCCCAGGTTGGTTAAATTAGACTCAATCTATGGACACTTGCTGAAACTATTTAGAAATAGGAAATCACGCTCATCTTGGTAAAGAATAAGTTAGAAGTCCTGTTGGTCATATTGCCGTTAGAAGTAAATGGCCTGATAGAAAATTAAATCAAACTAAAAGAAAACAAGGTCAAAAATGGAAAACAGAATCTTAATGCTGAGGGATTCTCTAACCTAATTTTTAAATGCCAATAAATGACTCAAGAATCCATGCTAGGAAATGGGAGCTATACATATGTCACTTACAGCTAATTTAATACACTTACATTCAAAATATTATACATTCTATTGCTGTCTGTCCAGTACAGTTTATTAGATAGCTTCATGTGGCTGTTTAAAAATTTAAATGTATCTAATCCAAGTGGAAATGTGCTACAAGTGTACAGTGAGCACCAAATTTCAAAGTCTTAGTGTGAAAAAAAATAAAAATGTATCATTAATAATTTTCAATTGACAACATGTTGAAATAATGATATCTTGGATATACTGGAATAAATATAGTATATTTTTTTAAAATTAATGCCACTTGTTTTTTTCAATGTAGCTACCAGAAATCTTAAAATTATTTATAAAACTTGTATGTCAATTTTATGAAGTGAGAATTTTTATATTCACTTCCAATTAATCCCTTAAAGCCTCCATGATATTTCTTAGACATATTCTAAGAGTAGAGTGACTTTATAATTTACCATTAAAACTTGGATGCTCTGAGATTGAAACAGGTAAATACCAGGACTGTTGTGGGAAAACAAAGATGTCTAGCCACCAGACTAAGATTCCTCACCTCCTATAATCTGGATTCTTCTAATACTCCCTTGCAAACCTCACACAATCATTATCCTGTGTTAGACAACATTGGCATATTGCTGTCTGTGTGTCTTCCTTTGACAGGGATGCCTTCTTTCACCACTTCTATTTAACACAGTTCTTGAAACACTGGCCAGAGCAATTAGACAGATGAAAGTAATTAAAGGGATACAGATAGGAAAAGAAGAACTCAAATTAGCACTATTTGCCAACAATATTATTCTATACCTTGAAAACCCTAAAAATGCCACCAGAAAACTTCTAGAACTATTAAGTGAATTCAGCAAAGTAGCAGGATATAAAATCAACATCCATAAATCAAAGGCATTTCTGTATATCAGTGACAAATCCTCTGAAAGGAAAACTACCCCATTTACAGTAGTCTCAAAAAATAAAATACTTAGGAATCAACTTGAAGAAAGAGATGAAAGACCTCTACAACAAAAACTACAGAATGCTAAAAAAAAAGAAATTAAAGAAGACTTCAGAAGATGGAAAGATCTACCTCATTCTTGGATAAGCAGAATTAATATTGTCAAAATGACCATACTACCAAAAGCACTAAACAGATTTAATACAATTCCAAAAAAAAAATCCCAATGATATTTGTCATAGAAATAGAAAAAGAAAGGGCTGGGGATATAGCTCAGTTGGTAGAGCTCTTGCCTCGCATACACAAGGCCCTGAGTTCAATCCTCAGTACCTCCCCCCGTCCAAAAAAAAAAAAGAAAAAGAAGTCATGAAATTCATCTGAGAAAAATAAGAGACCAGAAGAGCTAAAGCAATCCTTAGCAAGAAGAGTGAAGTAGGTGGCATTAGTATACTAGACCTTAAACTATACTACAGAGTAATAGTAACAAAAACAGCATGGTATTGGCACCACAATAGATTTGTAGAACAATAGTACAGAATAGAGAACATAAAGACAAACCCACATAACTGTAGTTATGTTATATTAGACAACAAAGCCAAAAACATGCATTGGAGAAAAGATAGCGTCTTCAACAAATGGTGCTGGGAAAACTGGAAATCCTTATGCAACAAAATGAAATTAAACCCCTTTCTCTCACCATGCACAAAACTCAACTCAAAGTGGATCAAGGACTTAGGAATTGAACCAGAAACACTGCACCTACTAGAAGAAAAAGTAGGAACAAATCTCCATCATGTCAGATTAGGCCCAAACTTCCTTAACAAGACTCCTATAGTGCAAGAATTAAAATCAAAAATCAATAAATGGAATGGATTCAAACTAAAAACTTCTTATCAGCAAAAGAAACAATTAGTGAGATGAATAGAGAGCCTACATTTGGGCAGTAAATTTTTACCACATGCATAACAGATATAGCACTAATCTCTAGGATATATAAAGAACACAAAACTCTTAACACACACACACACACACACACACACACAATATCCCAATCAATAAATGGGGCCAAGGAACTGAACAGACACTTCTTGGAAGATGATATACAATCACTCAACAAATATATGGAAAAAAAATGTTCAACATCTCCAGAAGTTAGAGAAATGCAAAGCAAAAGTAGTCTAAGATCTCATCTCACTCCAGTCAGAATGGCAGCAATCAAGAATACAAATAATAAGTGTTGGTGAGGATGTTGGCGAGGATGTCCTATTGCTGGTAGGACTGCAAATTGATGTAGCCAACATGGAAAACAGTATAGAGAATTCTTGGAAATATGGGAATGGAACCAACATTTGACCCAGCTATCCCTCTCCTTGGTCTATACCCAAAGAACTTAAAAACAGCATACTACAAGGACACAGCCACATCAATGTTTATAGCAGCACAATTCACAATAGCTAAGCTGTGGAGCCAACCTAGATGCCCTTCAATTAATAAATGGATAATGAAAGTGTGGTTTATATACACAATGGAGTACTTTTCAGCATTAAAAGAGAATAAAATCATAGCATTTAAAGGTAAATGGATGGAGCTGCAGAATATAATGCTAAGTGAAGTTAGCCAATCCTAAAAAGCCAACTGCCAAATGTTTTCTCTGATATAAGGAGCTGATTCACAATGGGGTTGGAGGGAGGAGCATGGGAGGAATAGATGAACTCTAGATAGAGCAAAGTGAAAGGAGAGGAACAGAGGGGGCACAGGGGTAGGAAATACGGTGGAATGAGATACTGACATCATTACCCTGAGTACATGTATGAAGACACGAATAGTGTGACTCTACTTTTTGTACAACCAGAGACATGAAAATTTTCTGCTCTATATGTGTAATATACATTGTAATGCATTCTGATGTCATATATAACATGATAATATTATGTTATTATGTACACATATATATGTACATAGAATTTTAAAATTGGCATATTGCTTTGAAAATGTCTCTGTTTTTTTCTTATGCAATTATTTAAATTTTCATTTTCAGATATTTTATTGATTTTGTTGTAAAGAATAATTTGTTTCTGGTATCTCTTTAATTATTATCCACTAAATGATAAATAGGAATTAAGTTTCTTTTTTATTTTTATTTTTTTATTGGTTGTTCAAAACATTACAAAGCTCATGATATATCATCTTTCATACATTTGACTCAATTGGGTTATGAACTTCCATTTTTACCCCAAATATAAATTGCAGAATCACATCGGTTACACACTCACAGTTTTACATAATGGCATATTAGTGACTGTTGTATTCTGCTACCTTTCCTATCCCCTACTATCCCCCCTCCCCTCCCCTCCCATCTTCCCTCTCTACCTCATCTGCTGTTGTTCAACTCTCTCCCTTGTTCCGCCCCCTTTCCCCTCACAACCTCTTATATGTAATTTTGTGTAACATTGAGGGTCT